TAATTAATAATTAAAGATAGTGATATTCAAAATTTATTAATATTTAATTATCATTAATGGTAATAGATAATAATTAATATTAATTAGGGTTTAATTGAGAAAAATAAGAATAAGCTACCAAAATGCTAGTTCAAGTATTATTTGGATAAGCTAACTTATATGCTTCTAAGCATACATCCATAAAATAAGCTAGTGACATTAACAGGTCATAAACTCAAAATGTTGCTATAAATTATGTACCAAAAAGAATAGAACACCAGGTTTTTTAGTATGAGATGGATCCTTATCAGTTATCAAGATGTACTTTTTTTTCATTAGTTTTTTTCTAATGTGATTTTTGTAGCTTATTATTGTTGCTTATGATCAAATAGGGAAGTCTCTCGTCCATTTTAGGTGTTGTTTACTAAATGTTTACCAGGTAAACACTTACTGATATTACTTACCTTATCGAGTAAGCACTTACCGATATCACTTAATACTAGGTAAGAGGCGTAATAAAGAACGAGAGTCTTACTCTGTAAGTGGAAAAAAACGACTCCTTCCTGGTAAGCGCTTATCGGGTTTAACATGCTTACCAAGAATCCATTTTGATGGTCAACATTTCTAAATTATAAGATGAGGATAATTTCTCTTAACGGTAAGTGCTCACCTGGTAAACCAGCCTTAAAATGGTTAAAACTCAAAAAATAAAAACAAGGAAATAAAAAAGTCAATGTTACACAAACCAGCAATAGACAAGTTATGAAGTACGTACAAGGCAGTTAGCATACCATGGATTTGATGTCACGTCACTCAAAATATAAAAAAAAGAATAAATCCTTCATTCCCTTTTGCTCAAATAATCACAACAGGAATGTATATATAATATATACATACATTTGTGTTCCAGGTGAAGAATGATGTTTGAAGATCAAAAGAACTGGAACATGATATATAAATTAAAGATGTGTCTGCTACTCAACTTGTGATTTTGGCTCTTTATTGAAAGCCAATTTAGTAACCAGTGCAACATGATCACTTCCCCATCTCTGCAAACACAAATACAAATTATTTTAACATATATATATATATATATATATATATATCCCAAAGATAACATAAGAAATAAAATCCATTCCAATACCTTTGTAGGAAATCCAGGAGTCCATTGCATTGCATGTTTTGGTATAGGAGCAAGAACCTTCACAGTTTGGAGACCCTTGGATCGCCTGCATGCAAAAACAATAATAAATAAAACATTCACCATCATAACTGTAAGTAGTAACACCAACGACCAACTGCTTAGAAATCTACCAAACTCGCGCTTTCAGTCCTTCAAAGAGTTTCATTCTTGGAGTTCTGGTTCATCTCGATGGTATGCACATACAAGTAATCAAAGCAGTTTCTTTTTTTTATGCGCATGTACATACCGGACAAATTGCTTACAGATTACTTGTATGTACATGTGCATACCGTCCAGATGAATGGTGACTAAGGTGTTCCTTAGTTTTTCATTTTTTGTGGTTTTTCATGTTTGTATACATTTTTGTCCATAACCTGAGCCACAATGCTGTTCTTTTGTGTTCTGGAAGCTGGATAATTTACAAATTTTCTCCTCTTCAGCTCCAACCATGGCTCATTGTTTTGGAAGTACTTTTGTGTTGATATGTCCTATCAATTGTTGGACTTTACTACCTAGCTTATCATTTCTTTGTTTTATTGAATTTTCTTTCTTTTAAAAAAAATCAATAGCTAAAGAGGCTCAGAGGGGCATGTCTAAGTGGTTGGATCCTATTGCAATAATTTGAGGTCTGGCTCCAATCCCACATTTGAGTTATTGCTCACTGAAGATGTATGTTGTCTCCCTGTTTTGGAAAAAAAGAATAGCTAAAAAGAAATGGTCATTCACCAGATGTAATCAACTGTCCCCTGGAAACCTCTATGGTAGCTAGTCACTTGGGGTTCCCCATTTGAATCTCTTGTTCCTGAATAATCCTGCAAACATTAAGACAAAAAGCCAAGGATATTTTCTTATAATTTTCGTAAGATTTACGAAAACAAGATAAAAGGTGATAATGTCAGGATATATGATCCACCTTGACTTCCGAATATGTGCTTCTTAGTGTTAGAGGGTGTTCCATGGTTGTGCATTCTGAGCTGCCCGTCGCGGCCTCTATTTCCATAGGGGTCCAACCTGATGGGTCATAAGCAGGCTTCTGCACAAAAGCTTCATTACCTGTGCTAAAAGAACCGTCCAAAATGTCAGGAGTTCCTAAAGAGAGCTCAGCCTCAGAGGTCTCATTATCGTCCACAAAGTCAGATCCATCAGGGCCATGCAATGCAGACAAAAATGAAACAGAATCCTCGCCTACAGATACATCTTCTACAGCTTCTAGTGGTTCATCTGGGGATGTCGTCAGGATAGTCTCATCCACCAAAATATGGTCTTCACTTAAAGAGATGCCATCGCCAATTGCATCAGCTGGGACATTCTCCAAACTTTCTGAGGTGCAGTTTGCAGCATTGCCCTCACTTTCTTCTTTTGCCTCAAGTTGTGGAACGGTTTTTTTGTCTTCATGCATTGTATCAGTAAGTGAACTAGCAGATAAATCTGGCATGTCGGAAATACACTCAGGCTGACTACTCATAGAACACGTACTGTCCCCTTTTATGCCGGCTTCCTCCTTATGGACTTCCTGGTTATCAACCCTTCTGGGAGATTGAGTTGCATTATCAGTCGACTGAGTTCTACAAAAATATGTATGCTAGTTAATAATCACCTCTTAATTTTTAATTAGAATGACGTCCAAATAGAATTTGCGATATGATGATACATGCCTGATAGTATTTGTAAACGGCCTTTTGTGAGGAATTTCAGCAGACATTTGCCCGGATATCATATTCCTAGGCAGTTCAGACACATCCAACTGCATCAAGAGATAAAGTTAGCAAACAATAACAAACCGGAACTTCTAGTAATAGGTATGGAAAGAAAACAAGAATTCTAAACCTTTTGCTCCGATATGAAGTTGTACAATGAACTCTGAAGCAAAAGAAGGAATGAGTTATTGGGATGATAAAATCAATCAAATTTAAAGATGAAGAAAGTTTAGTCTAGAAGTCTCGAAATGTACAATGGAAGGATCGAAAAGAGAAACGAGAAAAGAGTTAAGATACCTTTGGGGTAGAGTTAAAATCTCCACAAAGAACCACAGGAGCATCATCCCAAAGCTTTGATGTAGCAAATGCCCTATCTAGAAGCACCCTAACCTATTGGTAAAAAATGAAGGAGATGTAACTTTAATGGACCAAAATAAAAATTTACGAGCATGAAAAAGTTGAACATCAGAAAGATTAGGAAAGCAATGGATCGTGCGTAACAACTGCTAAACATAATGAAATACATATACACTAGAACTGCTGATTCTGATATACAGAAATTATCTTAAAAGTAAGGACATTATTTAGCTTATGCAAAAAATAGGCACATAAGTTAACCGCAAACTGCCTTCAAATAAACAATTGATGCAACAAGTACAGCCAACAAACCCAGTCTCTTTTTTTAACCTTTTAGGAATTCCCACGTCCCATCTTCCCTAATCATCATCATCGACTTCAACGAGCTGCCTCTCAGGAAGTTTTAGTACTGGAATGCTCTTTAGAATAAGTAGGCAATACAAAATAAGCAAGGGTATATAGATCCAGGAAAAGGGAAAAGGGGGGCTGAGCCAGTAGAAAGCTCGTCTCTAATTAGTAAATATTAGTCTAGGACCAGAAAAAGCACATGGGTCACCATCAAATCAATTTGATATAAGGGAACAGAATATAAAGTACATTTTATATAGCTAACAGAATGGTTAATACCTGCCCAAGCTTGATCTCTCCCCTTCTAGGATTGTAAAGCACATGGATATTACATATGATGACTTTATTGTGACCTTCAGAGCTGCAGGCATGGTAATGGTTTTTATTCTCCATTGCAAAACTAAGAATCAACCATAAATCTTAAAGGGATTTTTTTATAGGCCAATCTACATACTAATTCTACATTCACCCATTTGATAAAAGAAATTATGCAAGGACCAAAAAATTAGAAGCTCCAGATGGTACATGTATACTTAGGTTTCTATTCATGATTTGTACACAATCAAAATAAATATATGTTATAAAGGAACACTGTTGGAATGCTGACCTGAACCAGAAGCTGAATAATTTATTTTCTGAAAGTTCAGTGATTCGTCAAAAAAGTACAAAAATGGAAGAATATGCTACTTACCATGCAGGCGGAGGCGATCCAGCTGAACATTTCTCATTCAGTGACTGTTCAATGTAAGAATAGTATTTAGTGAAATAATGAAATAATCCCGTATTTGTTTTGCAAGTGCAAGTTTAAAACAAATCATTTGAAGACCAACGCACCTCTAAAACACATATCTGTGCAACATTATCCCGCATTCCAAACTTATTGAACTCAATGGCTTCCTCATGGAGAAGCTTGAATCTATAATGAAAATTTTAAAATCAATATTAGCCGATTATAATTGCTGCATGCAATTAATATGAGCAAGTGTGTATAAAGCCCTATAAACATACATTTCATATTTAAAAGCATATGAAGAAAATAAAGGAATACCTTGATGAACGCCAAAATATTGCACAACCGTCAACTGGCTCACCAGTTCTCATCTGACAAATAGGACGAGAAAAATAAATAAACAAACAAACATTTCAAATTTCCACACTTAGAGAACAAATAGCAGCGAAATAAGTTACTAGACTGATACCTAGTTGTTTCCAAATACACCAATACCAAATACACTCAGTTTTTTTCCTCCAGTAATCTGAATTTTAAATCCGAAATAACACTTTCTGAAGCCTAAAAAATACTAAAATTTTATCATCATGGAAGCAGTGGGTCATTATAAGTCATAACAGTTATTTAAACTCTGAATAAACAGTTGCATTATTCTTAAGATGAAGACGATCACTCAAACAAGGATGAGTGAAGTTTAGTGCACAGTAGGTCAAATTGAAGGAAGTCTCATACAAATTGCTGGCTTGCTACTATAAATAAATTAACAAGAGTGAAGGGCTTCCTGCATCTTACAAAGTCTTGGATGCACAAAGTAACAGCCATCAAAGATAGCCTGGAAGTAAACTATATAAGGTGTAATCAATACACGACAAATTCATGACAGCACCCACAGCATTTACCTTCCAAATACCACTATATCCCCGAATTTTTAAGTCTTCTTCTAAATCCTGAAATTTATCAACCTCCTGCATAAACAAGAAAATTACTGTAAAGCAGGATTACTTCCAAATGAAGAACTATAGAAAAACAGAACCACTGCCAAAAAGGAAGGACCATGTATGCTTTAAATTCCATATAAAACGGCAAGGGCCGCTAGAATGTAAAAGGAAATAGGGAAGAGAGAATAGGATTATTGTTCTTGTGTAATGGTGTGGCAAACATAATCTAAAGAAGGTAAGAAACAAATTAAGCAAATTCAGCCTGTTATGTGGTCCGCAGAGGAAGATGTTGAGTCGGACATACCTTTCAGCAATAGAGATCAATAACCAACTGTCCAAGTTAATGATAAGGCTGATTGTTCTCTATAGCTTTTGAGAATCATAAACAGAGGAGTTGCAGAAAAGAGAAATCAACATTAATCGGGACCCGGACATAAAAAAAAAAACACCGTCTAAAAGTAGCGTCAAGTCAAAGCTATAATTAGCTACTTGAAAGTTGGAACCCAAAACTCAGAAGCAAGCAAAGACACAATTAGGAGATTCAATAGAGCTACTCCAAAAGATATCCCTATAACTCCTTTTAAGAAAGGATGTGCCATTGTTTCTGCTAAAGAGATGGCTAACAGCCTAACACTGAAGTTCTACATGCACACACTTGACTCTAACTACTGTCCAACAATTTTGCAACCTTTTTTGGGTAAAGAACAAATTTAATGACTTGTGATATACACTGACGGTATCATGCAATTATGAAAGTTGAACCGAACTAGGACAACAAAGCATGAAACAGAGTTACAACCTGAAAGCAAAGTATATCAGCTGACCATAATCCCAGCTCAAACATAATATTTTTCTTCCGAAACTCCCAATCCAAAACATGGCGAGGTATGTGAAAGTAAAGTTTGCCTCGATGATTAATAGCCAGGTAATCAGCGAGTATATTGTACGAAAGGACTGTAAACCGCTCTGCAAATAATGTCGACAATATGTCAATGCCAAACTAGAACGAAGTTAAAGAATTTTACAACAGTTCAAGTTGATATCTAAACAAGAAAAAGCCAAAATATTGGAGAAGCACCTTAAGTCAAAATCCCCATTGCTAGGCAATTCTTTAGAGATTAGAACCTTGACTATACCAATTACTATGGTTTATTGATTCTTTTCTTAAACCATATCAATTCTTTAAGTTCATATCAATTTCCAAACAGGTAATATTGATTTAAAAAACCAAGTGGAAAAGATAACCTCTTTTACTATTACTGTGCTTGCAGAAAATGCTACTAACAAAATACTCTAATCAATATTTGAAAAAAGACATGGCGCAACTAATGTAATTACCACAACTAGGAGGAGGCCCTGGTTTCGCGTATTCCCAATTACGATAGTCCAAGGGTTTAGACGGCCGCTGCCGAGACCGCTGTTGTGGCCGGAACTGTCCAAAAGGCTGTGGTGGCTGTCCTTGCGGCCGAAACTGTTGGTTCTGATCAAAACTCGGCTGCTGTTGTCCCTGATTGTATAATGGAGGTGGCCGGAACTGTTGGTTTGGATTAAAATGCGGCTGCGGTTGTCCATGCCGCCAAAACTGTTGATTTTGATTGTAGAGAGGTGGTGGCGCGAATTGTTGGTTCGGATTCAAATACGGTGGAGGTGGTTGTCCACGTGGCTGAAAGGATTGATTCTGATTGAAAGGTGGATCGGAATTAGGTCGAAAACGGAAACGCGGCGGCCTAGGATTACAATCAGGCCGGAATTCACGATTAGGATCGTCATTACCATTGACGATGTTGTCAGTAACGGGAGCATAGGGACGATTTGAGAATCCTCGGCCGCGCCATTGATTCCGGCCGCCTCTGTACTGTCATGTACAACAACAATAAAAACTCAATTAGTAGCAGGTGGAAATTTAAATCAAGTGTTGTTGAGAATGAGTGAGTGTATGTTTATGTGATATGATGATTACGGAGGATGAAGGGCGGAGGGACATGGCGGCTGCGGTGGGGAGGAACTGCAGGGAAGGGGAGGAGCGGTTCTTCAACATTGACGGTGCCCCGGGATCTAGCGCGTTAGGCGCTCCTGTCAAACATTATATTTACACTCTCAGTCCCCTGAATTTTTACTCATTTTAATTCAAAGTTGTTTTCCAATCTGGTATTCATCTCATTCTCATACGAGGTTGGGTTCTCAAGAGAATTAACAGTCGTGACGAGGATGTGAGCATCAAATCTTCATTTTACATTTAAATGTTTTTTTATCGAAATTTTAACAAATTTACATTTGTAAAAGTGATTAAATGTATCTAAAAGTTTATGATATTGACTTGGATAAATTTGAAAACAAAGATAGATGAATGTAGTTGAAAATTTTGAGTTAGATTAAAAAGTCAAGTCATCCAAAGGCTCGAAGGTGTTCTTATCGTTCTCACAATAACTCGATTTGTAAGATCTCACATCGAATGGGGAGGAGAACGCCTTATAAGTAACTTGATACATGCTTTATTAGACACATTTTAAAAACATGAGTTCAGGTTTTAATCACCACTTGCAACTTCCCTTTTCTTTCTGTTTTTCCATCTAAAACACCATCCTCATCTTCTCTTTCCTAATTTTAATTTGTGATGAAAAAAGTCTACATGTTGCTTTCTACTTCTTATTTTGGTTTAAAGGAAAGTTTTAAACCCATTGATGATAAGTAGAGGGACTTAAAGATATTAAATTATATCTTGTGGCCAAAACGACGACGTCCTCCTATCTGCAGAGGTGAGGTGAGGTGGGATGAGAGACGGCAAGGGAAGGGCGGTGGTGGTCGGAGGAAGCATAGCAGGACTTTGCTCCGCCCACGCGCTGCTATCGGCGGGATGGCAAGTGGTGGTGCTGGAGAAAACCACCGCTCCTCCTACCGGAAGTCCAACCGGCGCCGGCCTAGGTCTTGATCCTTTATCTCGAACAGTAATCAATTCATGGCTTCCACAGAAACAATCGGATAATCTTCTCAACAATCAAACCTTACCCCTCACAATCGATCAGGTATATATGATATAATACTTTTCCCCAAACATATTACTACTTCATATATTTTACTCTGATACAAATATCATATAATTTGCAAAAAGTCGTTTAGAGCTGATCATCATCTTCATTTTTCGGTGGACTTTTCTTCGTAATTCATCCGGATCTAGGGTTTTGATTTGCAACTTAACAATTATGTGGAAATATCTTCTTGGTTTATGTTTCATCACAGAATCAAGCTACTGATTCAGAAAAGAAGATCACTCGAAAGTTGACAAGAGACGAAAGCTTCAATTTCAGGGCTGCATACTGGTCTGATCTCCATGGTCTCTTATATAAAGCACTACCTCCAGATATATTCCTCTGGGGTCATATGTTCTTATCCTTCCATGTATCTGATAACAATAAATCTGTTGAGGTTCAAAGTCAAGTTCTTCAAACCAGCAATGTTGTTAAGATTGTAGGTGATTTGTTAGTTGCAGCAGATGGTTGTCTGTCTTCTATTCGCCAAACATTCCTTCCTGATCTTAAATTAAGGTTTGTGTTCCAAAATCAATCTCAAGTTCTTATCCTTAACGTGTTTGTTTCTTCAAGTTCTGCTTTTAAATTAATGGATGTAGGTATTCGGGTTACTGTGCTTGGAGAGGGGTGTTGGATCTTTCTAGTAACGAAAAATCCGAAATTTTTGTTGCACTGCAAAAGGTTTATGCTGATCTGGGGAAGTGTCTATATTTTGACTTGGGTTCTGGAACTCACAGCGTTTTTTACGAGCTTTTGAACCAAAGGATCAATTGGATTTGGTACATCAATCAACCCGAGCCACAACGGAAGGTTGTCGCTTCAAATCCCTCTTTCCATTTGCAGCATTAAAAGAAAAAAGAACTCTCAATTTGGTGAATCATGTGTTCATATGAGACACATTGGGCTAATTTTGTTTGCATTTCATTGAAATTGTTAGGGGAATTCTGTAACGATCAAAGTAAGCGACAATATGATCAAGAAAATGCAAGAGGAAGCAGAGAAAGTATGGGTGCCTGAACTGGTGAGGGTCATAAAAGAAACCAAAGAACCATTCTTGAATGTGATATACGATTGCGATCCTTTAGAACAGATCGTTTGGGACCGTGTGGTGCTTGTTGGAGACGCGGCTCACCCGACAACACCCCACGGTTTGCGAAGCACAAACATGTCTGTATTGGATGCAGCAGTTCTAGGTCAATGTCTCATGAAATCCGGAGTTGAAAACTTATCCGCTGGTTTAAAAGAGTATCAGTCCATTCGGGTTCCCGTCACCTCAAAGCAAGTTCTACATTCACGAAGGCTGGGACGGATGAAACAGGGTCTAGTTTTGGCTGATGGGAAGGTTTTTGATCCCAAAACTTGTAATCTAGAAGAATGCAGAGATCTTCAACAGAAAAATATGCCGGGGTTTAACGACATGCCTCCAGTTTTCAGTAGGATAGCTACAAGTAAATACTAATTGAAACTGTACAAAGTTTTATTGTATTGAAAGCTGTATAATTAAGTTGGGGACAATTCATGAATCCTCGTGGATCAGCCTTATTTCCTTCATTCAGCCTCGAACCTTTTTTGCAAATTTGCAAGCGTCTTTAGTATTTCTTGGAACGTTGGTCGGGACCATGGTTCGCTGAGCAAAAAAGGAAAGTTGTCGATCATCTGTTCATTACAGATAGTATTTTGTAGACACTTGAATGAAATGGAACCATGTTAGAGAGAGTGAGACTAACTTGCACCAACAGCTTTTGATTAGAGAAGCCCACAGTGGATCCACATCTGTTGGAATCTCTAGTCGTTTACCCTTGAATCCCACGGCTGCAATAACCTGCAAGTATCAAACTTGACTTGAATTTTTGTTTTGATCATTTATTGATAACCAAATTAATCTTTATAGCAAAAGCCACAAATATATGGATATTTCAGAAATATTGAATCTTATTCTTGAGAAGAACATACCTGTGCCGGATTAAGACTCTCCCAAGGGATTTTCTCCCTAGTAATTTCCCACAATATTACGCCGTAGCTGAATACATCGGCCCTAAATTAAGATTGACGACAAATATGGGATCAAAAAATTCATTGACGAAAAGAGAAATCAGTTATTCCTTACTTTTCATTCGATGGCTCATCCCGAAGAATTTCTGGCGCCATCCATTGAGGCTACAGAAGCAGATCTCACGGGCATCATAAAAACAGTCATCATCCAAATTTCAATTCTTATACGTAATACTTACGGAGATTATGATAATGTAAATGGTAGTATAGGGTTACCATTGCTATCCTTGTGATTACCTTAATGTATAGTTGTTGCTTGATACTGGAAAGACCCAAGTCACCAACCTAAAACATCATCATATCATATGAATTAAACATGGAGAGTTTTGAAGAGTAATTAGTATAATATATATATACCTTGAGGGTCCAATTGTTATGAATAAAAAGATTTGAAGAATTCAATTCACGGTGAACAATGGGTGGTTTGCGATGATGAAGATAACTCATACCTTTTGCCTGAAAAGTAAGAATCAATTAATTAAATGTGGATAGAAATTAGTAATTAGTAATTAGTAATTAGTAATTAGCATGAATGGTGCTTACGACATCCACTGCCATACCAAGACGAATTCTCCAATTTAATTGGGATGGATTTGGGTGAAGCATCTGAAACAAACTTCCACTACATATAACACAAAACAAACAAGTCGATGGTTATTTAAATTAGAGGTGACGACTGATGTTGTGGATTGAAGAACCAACCGTGGAAGGAGCTCCGTGACAATGCCCAGAGGTTGAGGTGAAATTACGGCACCGATCAAGACCAAAATATTTGGGTGTCGAAGCCTTTTAATCAGAGATACCTTCACAAACCAAAATGTTGTTTAAACCAACTGTAAAGTTAAAATCATATATATATGTAATTACCTCATTTTTAAACGATCGAATCACATCATCTGGATACTCTTGCTGCTCAAATAACGTCACTGCAACATCCTGCACCAATTAAATCAAATTCTTACAACTAAAACTAAAACTAAAATTCAAAATCACAACATGGAGTAGGGGATGGAGAACATACTGATCCATACCACAACGCATGTATACAGTCCCATACGAACCTGTAAAAGTATATATATATATATATAGTTCTAGTCTTAATTTGTCAAATGTCTTTAAATTACCATTCAAATTTAATGTAATAAGTATCTACATTTGTTTCTAATACCTTGGTGTAGACATTGTTCTCTAATGTTCAAGTCCTCTAACAAGATTTCATAATACCGACTGTCAGTCTCTCCTTCCTCTCTACTTGAGCTATGGTTATCATGTAACGAAGAAAACCACAACCCTGAATCCTCCATCTCAAGTAATTCTCCATTTTCTAGGTTTTCCTTAATCTGTAATTCATTAAACAAGACTTATGTCTCAAAATCTGTAATTCATTAAACAAGACTTATGTCTCAAACTTTATATTAAAAAGATGAACTAAATCTAAATTGAAAATCTACAACTTACTTGATATTTAAGTGCGTTTTCAAGTTCTCTCACGATTTCAGTCATTGATGGGCGTTTTACGCGATCTATCTGCAAACATTGATATGCGATTGTTGAGAACGTTTCTAAACACTTTGTTGAGATTTGGTCCTTTAGACTACCGTCAATAATCAAGTCTAGTTTCTTTTCTTCGTAGTGTTGTTGTGCCAATCTTGCCAAAAATGGTCCAATTTCTTTGTAAGTTTGTACACAAAGTCTTCCACAAAGAACTTCAAACAGCACTACCCCAAAAGAGTAGACGTCAGATTCTTTTGTCAAGAAGCCTGTATTCAAGTACAGTGGATCGCAATAACCAATTGTTCCTACGCCATTAGAGACAAGAAAGGAGAATTGTTGGTTAGCAGGGCCAAATTTGGAAAGACCAAAGTCTGAAATCTTAGCTTTCCAATTTTGGTTCAACAATATGTTAGAACTCTTAGGGGCCGTTTACCAAATACTTACCCGAGTAAGTACTTACCAAATCATGTTATCTCACCGGATGAATATGGTAAGGACCAAAAATCTTATCAGGTAAGAGCGAGACAAATACCATGAATCTTACCCGGTAAGTGAGAGCGACGCCTCTTACCACGGTAAGCGCTTACCGGGTAAATTGTTGCATAGGATGTCGTTTTAATAGACTAAAATCTTACCCGGTACGTAAACAATATTGTTAAATTTTACCGATAAACACTTACCGGGTAAGTGTTTGGTAAACGGCCCCTTAATATCACGATGCAAGACTCTCTGTTGGGTCCCATCAGGATCATGAAGGTATTGTAGTCCACGTGCAGCCCCAATGCATATACGAAGGCGTTGCATCCAGGAAAGATCGTGTCTATTTAGACACAGATCAAGACTTTTGTTAGGTAGATACTCGTACACAAGGATTTTCTCACCACTCTCATCACAAAAGCCTAATAGAGAGACGAGATTTTCATGTTTGTAATGAGAAAGCATCATGATCTCTTTCCAAAACTCAGGGGCTCCTTGCCCAAGTGCAGTATCTAAGCGCTTTATAGCAACGGTGGTTAACCCCGTGGACAGGAGAAGTTCTCCTTTGTAAACCTTCCCAAATCCACCTCGGCCGATGAGGTCGTTGTCATTGAAGTTGTGGGTGGTCGATTTTAGATGTTGGAGTGGAATTTTGAGATGATCAAACTCTTTGATGGAAGACATTATTTTGATGACAAGAAGAAAAAGAGGAAAAGAAATATATTAAGAGCTTCTTCAACCACCAAGAAATGTACATCTCAATATGCATTCCAACAAGATAATATATAAAAATACCTTTATTCATAAAGAATATTGTATTGTTCCAAAGGTAAACAATATATATATAATGGTAGATGTAGGGACCAATAATTAATATTCTTTTTTTCTACTTTTATGTTGAGCTTATTTATTAATACCTCTTAATAATAGTCCATCTCATATTCCTTCTCCAACGAGAATGGAACATGCAAACCTGTCCTCCCCACACCACCATTACTGTGATGCAGACCCGGATCAAAAACCCCTGCATTTCCTCAATATGATTGAAACCCTCCTCCACCTACTGTCAACCATCTTTCTTTTTCTCCTCTACCCCAACTTATTCATAATCAGCAATACAAATAATCAGACTTAAATACATTGATTCTTGCTATAAAAAATGTTAGGTACACCTCTAAATACATTGACGTATGACAAAACATACTTGGTGATTAACACTTTGAAAAAAGAATACCAATAATTAGTTTTCCCGTCCATATTTTTTTTTTTTCTATAAGGGTATCTAGTTTATGTCCAAAATAATTCTAGCAAATTGCGACTACAAGTCCTGATAAACTTAGAAGTGTTGTGGAAGATCTCATCTATCCTATGTTCGAATCCAGACGCTGTTAAGCCCTCATGACGATGGAGGTTCACTTGTGATAACACCAAATCATTCCTAATAGCAGAAAATTAATCAATACACATAAGCTGACCCAAAATTAACCGGTTACAAAAAAACATATATATTAGGACCGTAAACCATCGTACACTTAACTATCGTCATTTAAATCCCCAAAAATCCAAATCATGCGTCAAGAGAAAATTTTGCAAGAATCATATTTACCAAGAAGAAACAATAGATTTAGTGGTTTGGCTAAAATAATCCTGCACCAACCATCAGTTGCCACGTCATCCAAGCGACGTGTGAGTCAATGCCTGCTCCATTTCTATTATTTGGGTTTCTTAAGAGATTTTTCTTTTTCTTGTTCCCACTTTCCTCCTTCCGATTCTCCTCTCAATCTCGAATCATTCTTTGTTAAATCAGATTTATTTGATTGCTGCTAACAAAAAGAAGAAGCAACAATGGCAGATAAATATAACATGAAGAATCCATCTGTGAAAAGGATTTTGCAGGAGCTAAAAGAGATGCAATCAAACCCAACTCACGATTTCATGAGCCTTCCTCTTGAGGTAATCTAATTGAATTTTTGATAAAATATTCAATTTCATCTCTCTTTTTCTTTTTGTGTGGAGTAATTATAACAATATTCTCTATTTTTCGAGATTGGGTATAGTTAGGGTTTGTATTAATTTGATCGGATTTTGTTCGATTGTAGCTGAAAGTATGTTCTTTGGTTAATTCATTGGTGTTGTTGGTTTGATTCAACATTATATCAATTGTGATTGTTTGAAGATTAAAAACTTCCAAAATGTGTAAGCGGATTTTTTGAATTTCATGAAATTTTCCTGGTTGTTTTTTTTTTTTTTTTTGGGATTAAAATCTAGGGTTGAGTTATTTGAAATTATCATGTTTTTAGATGATTCCATGGTGGATTTGCTTTTATTTCAACTAAGAGTCATTGTTCTGGCCTTCAAATGTGTTCTATCCAGCTTCTTTTCTCTTGATTAGAGAAGTTGGCAACAAAATTTGACATTTGAATGCCAAATAGATTACTTCTTCAAACTTGAATCTGATACGAGTTATTAGGGTTTTTGGGGAAGGATTCTTCAAGTTCAGGACAAGGATAATAAAATAGACATTCAAATGTCAAATAAACATCATAATCGATGCTGAACTTCAATGGTATATAAGTAGGTTATATATTTCTTTATGCAGGAGAATATCTTTGAATGGCAATTTGCAATTAGGGGACCAGGTGAGACTGAATTTGAAGGAGGAATTTATCATGGCCGAATTCAATTGCCTTCAGAGTACCCATTCAAACCACCATCTTTTATGTTGTTGACGGTAATCCTTCTTTTTTAACTCTAAATCAGTATTTGCCTTCCAAATTGACCACGTTTAGTTATATGAACTAATCGTACAAGCCTATTTGTTCCTGATTCAGCCAAATGGGCGCTTTGAAACTCAGACGAAGATATGCTTGAGCATATCAAATCATCATCCTGAACATTGGCAACCATCATGGAGTGGTAAGTATCTGATTTTGACCCGTCTTTATCTGGTCAAACGGGTCATTGCCCGAACTCAGAATTCAACATGATTTTGGGTTTCACTAGTTTAACATAGGACCTTTGCTGTCCTCGGCCTAAATCTATGTCGATTTTAGATCTTGCAAGTGACTTGTAAAGTTATATATGCAGTGGAACTGATCTCTTGACTTGCAGTTAGGACTGCTCTAACAGCACTAATTGCATTTATGCCGACGGACCCGAAGGGTGCTTTGGGCTCGTTAGACTACAAAAAAGAAGAGAGGCGTGTTCTTGCAGTTAAATCCCGTGAAGCTGCCCCAAAGTTTGGTTCTCCAGATCGTCAAAAGCTCATTGATGAGGTTATTTGATAACTGTTAAGCTTTTCATTTTAGTCATTCCTCGACTTTTATGGTGAAAAAAATGGTTTTTAACTTTGATGAAATTCTTATTTGCAGATTCATGAGTACATGATGAGTAAGGCACCCCCAGTCCCCCCACCCAACTCCCTCGAATCTTCAGAACCACCACCTGTCTACACAGAACAATCCGGTGAAGCTCGAGCGAGTCCCCGAAAAGCGAACACAGAGATAACTGAAGCCGAAGAACAACATGAAGCTCCCGCAAAGGAGAAGATAGAAGCTGAAAGCTCAAAGGTATCAGAGCAAATTGCTCCTGTTGTTCCTTGTGCTGCACCGGCAATGGTGCAGCAGCAGGAAGCGATGAAACCGGTTGTGGTTCAGAAAGCGGGTGATGAGCGGCTCTTCACGTGGGCAGCTGTGGGACTGGCGGTGGCTATTGCTGTGCTTCTGTTGAAGAAGTTCATGAAAGCTAGTGGTCATGGTGCAATGTTCATGGGTGAATCTTGAAGGGTGAAAATCATCTTTCAGGCATTCGAATGAATGAATATATACGGCTGAATTTTCGTAAAATGCTGGTGTCATCTTTTTATTTATATTTTTTGTTTTGGTAATGTGTGTATATATATATTATATGAAATGAATTGTTATAGAAAGAAGTAGTTGTTGCTCTTGGGGGTTTTAGTTGCCAAAATAATGAAACACTATATCTTAATTTAAAAGAAAATCAACCCATTTACCATTAAAATAAAAAGATGAATCCAAATAGTCTGTGTAGCATAGCATAAACAAACATGGGTTCAAAATGGATCCTAAAAAGTGGGACATTGCTGCTTACGTATACTAATTCAAAATTTCTATCTATCTACTTTAAAAATAAAATAAAGAAATAAAAAATATTATATTCAACACCCCCAATATATGAAATTACAATCAGATCAATATTTTATACGTTGTTATTTAAGTTTGAACATAATAAATAAATGTTACATTCCCAACTCTATTTCTGACTCCTCCCAACAATTCGTTTAGAAGCAATATAATAATAGATTAATGTGAAGGATTTATTTTGGAAAACATAGGTATAAACATTGATTGAGATGGAGGTGAAGGGTTCATGAATCAATCATCAATGATGTTGATGGACCATATCAACAATGGCAAGACAATTGCTTGTCATCTTTGTGATCTTGTCGTCATAAGTAGCCAATGGAAATGTTTTCCCCAAATATTCGTCTCGACAATCTTCCATTTCCGACAACACCGCCTTAAGCATCGAGTTCATACGTTCCATATCCTTACACCCCAACGCCTTCATCGCTTCTTGGAAATCGCTCAACGCGTTATCGTAGCTGTCTTTGCAACTTTTAAGGATCTTTGTTTCGTCTTTTGGATTTCCCGGTGTGTTGGAGAGCCTCTGAGCGTTGATGGAACCGAGTTTGATCAACCATGCCGTCGATTTCATCGTCCTATCCAAGATGGTGGAGATGTCGGAATCTCCCTTGAGGAAGGGGGAGACGGTGGAAATGCATTGGTCGGGATACTCGGTTTTGCGGCATACGTTGTTCACCGTGATATTGGTGTCAAGGAGGTTAGTAGACGGGGGATTTGACGATGGAAGTGAGTGGAGGGGTGTTGGTCGAAGCGATTCGGATGTTCCTCGATAGGGTATGGATAGCATTGTTGGTGAGGATTGGGATTGGGATTGGGATTGGGATTGGGTGGGTGGTTCAGAGATGGAACGGAAGGACAGATGCATGGCGCGAGCCCATGTTTCTAGGCGCGGTACGAGTACAGGGGGAGTAGGGGAGGTGAGATAGTGATAAGTTTTGTGGGGTTCCGAGAGTGAAAAAGGGAAGATTAATAGAGCAAACCAAAAGAAAAGGAGAAGGGACGTGTTGTTGAATTCCATTACAATAAAAGATGGGAAATGAAGTGACAAGAAATGAAGCAGAAAACAAGAATTAGTAGTAGTTGTTAAAACAATTAGGGAGAGAAGGAGATGGAATGTAGGGAAATAAATTGCCAAATGGCCTGCGTCTCTTCATACCTTTCTTTCAACCACTAACTCATTCATTGCTTTTGGAATGACCCTATCCCTTTTTTATTACACTTCATTTTGTAATTTCCATTTCCATTTCCATTTCCATTTCACATAAATCAAATTACTAAAAAAACCCTTTAACCCGAACCTCAATCGCTTGCTTATTCACATAACTTTCTGGATGCCACATATTTTTTTCTTTCACTTTTACATAACCTAAAATGTCGGTGGTGTAAATCAACAAAATTGATAAATGTCTATTTGTTGGATGAAATCACAGAATTCTCCTTTTAGGGTGTGTGAATGTGAATATAGAATTTTTTTTTACTTACGGGGGGCCTATTATACGTATTGAGAACCAAACCAATTAGAGCAGGGCTATATTTGTCAAAGTGCAGGATCAGTGGTGGTTAGGGCCCATGCTTACAAGTGTTGTAAATTCTGCAATTGAAGTTGTACTTCTCATTTACCTAACCTGTATCACACGTGCATGGATGGAACCATTCATGCACCCCTTCATAAACCTACCAATTTCAGTTTTTTATTATATTTTTGCAAATCCTGAAATTATTTTTATAAAAATCAACATTTGATCTAATAGAAAAACGTTTACTTAAATACTTACTTTTGTAAGTGTTTATCGGTTTAATTATCTTATAGAGTGGATATAATAAAGACCGAGAGAGAGTTTTATTCGATAAATAAAAATGATAGACTCTTTCATAATAAATATTTATTAGATCTAAGATATTTGATAACTAAAAAGATAAGTGAGAATGATCTTAAATATATTTCTTGAAAATGAAATTTAGAGTAAGTTAATCATTAGGTTGTGTTCAAAAATTAATTGATAAATGAATCGTTACACTAATTTTAGTTATAAAAAAAATATGAGTTGTTTGGTAATAAAACAATTGATAAGTAAAAGTAATAATAAAAGATAGTTAAATTTAATTTAAAACCAAATATATTCCTAAAGTAGTTTTTGAAAGAGATAAAGGTTGTTAATTTATGGACCTTGGCGTAGATACTAATGCTAATGCTATATACCTTTGACTTGTCATTGTCCAATCAATGGTTTGCCATCACAAATGCTTGCATTTCACAATTTTTAATCCAACAACATACATTTTTTAAAAATACAAAGTTTGGCAATTTTGTTGTTTTTGAGGGTTTTCTGAAGAAAAATAAAAATAAAATAGGAGGGAAAGTGAAATCTTTTAAATTTGAAAATATTAACATAAGAGAGAAATAATTTTTTTATCATATTCTACCATTAAAAACCCTTTAAAATAAATATTTGTGAAAAAAATAATAATACTTTATTAAATATTTTGATAATATAATAGATGGTGTAATCTTGTTATATTGTTTTCATCTGAAAATATTTTTGAGCCATTAATAACCGTTAAAAAAATGAAGATTTTGGTTTTAAATAAAAAAATCTTGTGGTTCGTGTTCCATGAAATATATTGTAAATGTTATTTTAATGATAGTTTATGTACATATTTATAAAATAAAAGTTATATAGTTTGTTATGTTCTTTAATATTAAAAAGATATATATATATATATATGTTTCAAATAAATTTTTAATAAAATATTAAAAAGTTAAAAGTTATGAAGACCAAATCTTTATTAAAATTTAAAAACATGGCATCCTGTTTAGTGGAGAAAAGTATTGAATCAAAATTGTAGTTTTATATAAAATAAATTACGGTAACATATTTTTAAAATCATAACATGTTCATAACTTTCTTCACCTCCCTTGGCCATTATATCTTATCTAAATACTACATTAATTTATAAATAAAAATAATGTATTTTTTTGAATGATACCTCTAGAAATCCAGGATAATTTTGTAGGATTCAATTTCAAATCAATGGCCTTCAAAATCAAAAATGATTCTCAAAGTTAATCTAACCTAGTCCTAGAAGCTTATGTTTTGTTGATGTTGATTTTGATTTTGCAATTTCCAATTTGCAATTTGCATGCACAACCAAAGACCTTAATTTCCTTTGTCTACTTAAATTAAATGGATACTTGTTCCTTCATCTTACAAAAGAGATTCCATGTTACAACACGATTTTAGTTGGTAATCAGTAGAATCTTATAACAAATCTCACACAGGTTGAAAAATCTTTTATCAGATAAATTTGGGTACACGAAATAGGAACAACTTAACATTTGTTACATTAATAGACACAAATTGTATCCTTACACTAGACTAAATAAGAAGTATGAGGTGAGGGATTTTTAATGTATTTTATTCTAATAATTATATATGGATAAATAATATTTGTAATGTAACTGAAAAGAAATATGTTAACAAGGATAAAATTAATATATAACATATTAATTTTAGTTTGTTGGTTTTGAAATTGATCGATGTCTTCATGAAGAAGCTGTTAAATGTCAAACCTTGAGCACCATGCCCTAAAGCTTCCTTTTCAATATACATATATATATATATATATATATATATATATATATATATTTTTTTTTTTTTTAATTACAAAATATATTGTTTTTTCTATGCATTACGTACAGGCTTTAACTATATATATCACCACATTTTAATGCCCCACTGCTCTTCTATCATAAAACCATGCATAATATAATACTGATTTTATTATTTATTTTTAAAGATAAATTAGATTACCCAAAATTTTATTATTTTTAGATAGTAATATGTTAATGATGAAACTGAAAACATTAATTAATTTTCAAATTTAAACAAGTGTTTCTTTCTTTTTAAGTGTATATCATAACCGAATCTTATGTAATATCGTAATTCAAAAGAAAATGTATACAACGATCTTGCTTTTTCAAAAATGTAAATTGTTTATTTTCAAAAAAAATGCATGAAAGTAAGAAAAAGAAAGTCGATTTAAATAAATAAGTTTTTAGGAGTAATTAGAAACAAAAATACATATATTAATTATATTACCATATATACAATTTGAATTTTTATTTGTTTATGTAATTTCTTATGTTATCGAACTTGCAAATATATATATATATAATGTTTAAATCCAAAATCAAATAAATAAATTCATATATAACCACTGAGTGAGTCAAAAAATATTCCGTTATATTAATTAATGTCCCTGGATCCTTAAATCTTGTTCCATCTTCCTCAAGAAAGTCAATGTAGTTTGCAAGCCTAGTGTAACGCCACGTCATTGTGTTCTTGCTTAAATTGAACGTGTTAGAACCATATCTTGATTCAATCACCCCGCCTTTGAGCTATACATTATCAATCAATGGAGTTGTATCAATTAATTGTAAGTGACTGAATAGTTGCATTTTCCTTTCATAAAATTATTACGATGGAAAATTTTTATCCTTTTATGATGCATGTATATGTGAATATTCATTTAAACTTAAATGTTATCTAAACGTGAAATTTGACTCCACTACTTCTTCAAAAAACCATCTTGTTTCACAATGCGTTCATATATGAATGTTCGTTAACAACTAACTCATGAGAAAGGTTGTGTGTCCTATTCGTTTACTTCCATTTCCGTTTACTACACATTTAAATGTGAATGCTTATAAATCACATGAAAGGTTGTGTGTCTTACTCTTTTATTTTTAGTTGTTTAATACAATAATGTTGATTAACCCTTTTTCTATA